TTAGTAATTTGTTATATTAAGTACAAAAGAACTGCAGCTATAAATGCTTTGTATGATCCGTCTCATCAAAAATTTCCTCCTACACAAAAGACAGAATTGACATTGTAATACCTTGGCAACTAAAGAAATCATGGAAACCATTTCAATCCAAAATCTTGAGTGATTTTACCTGTAAAAGCTCTTCAATAATGTCTTCCATAGTTATTATTCCAACTACCTCTTCATCATCAGGGACATCTGGCAGATCATTTTCACATTACCATGTGTTTTTTGCTGTTTGAATATGAAAATTAGTTGCAATTCTTGGGAATGGAAAGTAACTAAATTCTTTGTCAGTATATATGTGTTCCACATTAGCATGTGTTTGTGTCTCTGACTATCGTGTTCGACATTAACGTAACGCTTGTCTCACGACTTTACCTTGAGTAAATATATATATACTCACTATGATCCAATTTAATGTGTCATATTTTGAATTTTGAGATTCAAATAAATCTATCTTTAACCGTAAGTTATTTCATGTATATTTTAAATATTTTGAATCGTCAATTATTGTGACTTATAGTATTTTTTAGGAATAAGGCACAAGTACCCCATACACTAAGACCGAAATTCCAAAGACTTACCTTAACTAAACTAAGGTCCTATTACCCCCTGAATCCATTTTATTTTATAATTGTTTTTACACCTTTTGACTTATGTGGCATCCAAATATCTCCCACGCGCCTCAACTATGTGGAGTCACGGAGTGTGCCACGTAAGCCAAAAGGTGTATAAAATTACAAACAAAAAAAAAAAGACCAAGGGTAATAGGACCTTAGTTTAGTTAAGGTGTATCTCTGGGATATCGGTCATACTCTAGCGGGGTACTTGTCTTATCACTACTTTTTACGTAGTTTATAAATATATAAATTTCATTTAAAAAATTTGAAGATTTCATGAGTAAATTCTTGGTAAAATTTGAACTGTTTGACTCACGAAAAAACAAATTTGTCACATAAATTATGACAAAGGGAATAATACTATCATCCTTCAATCATGGCTTGACTTATAATTAAGATGATATGATTTACTCATTGTAAATAATTATAAGAAATAATTTTAGATAACTTCTTCTAGAATTCGGTTCATAAAACTAATTTTTTTTATTCATAATATTAATTTTTTTATGGTTTACGATATTACAATTATTCTCTTATTTGAATTTTTTATTGTAACACTTCTTTCAACCTAATATTTATTAATTATATAAATAAAAGCTTTTGTTTTAAAGATTTTACCCCGTTTCTAATATACTACTACTATTTTTGTTTGTTAAATTACTGTATGTTGGAATAAACATGCTAAATTCGTTGACCAGAAGGTCATCTCTACTTTGTAAACATAATGTACTCCATGTTCTTCTTCTTGTGAACAATTGGAAAGATTATTTTTTTATGCTCATCTTAAACATTGAAATTTTATTGGATAAAACTCATATCAAATTTTGGATTACATCTTGAATTTATGATTGGTTGATCTAGTCAAATTATTTGTTAATAAAAATGAATTAATGTTTATGTCAAAATTATATAACTTAAATGAAATTCAATTACATTTAAACCAGTTTGTTAAGTGTTTAAATTTATAAATTTCCCTTATAGGTGCTGGTCTTGATATTTTTTTCCCCAATAAGAAAACAACAACAACAACAAAAACATATCCAATCAAATCTACAAGTGAGATATGAGGAGGATAGAATGTACGCATACCTTATCACTATCTCGTAGAGGTAAGAAGACTATTTTCAAAAGATCCTCAGCTCAAGTGCAATAACTTCTCATTTAAAGAAGGAGAAAATGAAAACGATATAGAAAATAATAAGGAAATGATGAAAAGACTATAATATAGGAGCCAAAACAACAATAACCTCCATTCATTGAATGAAATTTCCTTAGACAAACTTGACTTCCAAATCTTACAAATTAAATGAAACTTAATTAATAACATATTATAATTTGTTGTTTGTAACGATCTGATACATCGTTATTTAAAGGCATCTCATGCGGAGTCTCAATTTTTTTTTAAAATATGTTGTCAATTTAAAATTGGAGTGACACGAAGAAAATTCTTGAATTTGATATTGATCCGGGCTGACGTCATTCAACCATAGCTGGAATATTTCTGCTATGACGACATTGTTGTAGCAATGTGTCAGCCATTATAGCAGGGTCAGCGGGGCAGAAACTCGAAAACGTTAATTCTTTAATTTACCTCCTCTTCAATGGTAAAACATCCTCCTCTTCAATGGTAAAACAAACAAGGGTTACACCAAAAAAGCCTCCAAAATCCGCTCCAAGATAGAGGAGGGATTCTAGCGCAAAGAGAGTCAAACCCATTGATTTTCGGTCTACGTCCGTCAAAATTCGCCCCCACCGAGCTAGAGGCTCATGTTCAGAGTTCTTTAGTTGTTGTTGGACATCCATGTAGGCTAGACTTACATGAATAGTTAGTCCTGTCTTTATTTGCATAATACCTTGTGAGCTGTCGGGAGTTTGCAATGAGTTTGGGTAGATGAATGCATGGATCACTGTTGTGCAAGTGGATGTCGACAAGAGCTCAAAAGATTGTCAATTGATTTCATATTTTTTTCTTCTATTGTTTAATATATTAATTCGTAAGAATGTTGTTACATTTTATGTATATTCTCTCTATGAATATATTTTTCTTTATTTTTGTATTTTATATGAATTTGTTATTGTTGTAAATTTTTTAATTTCTTTTAGTTCAAAATAGTAACTTATGACTTTGCTGGAAATATGATAGTTACCAACTAAATGTTTTCCTCAATAAAATCAATAATAGGGGAAATACCCTTTTGAAATACTTAAGTGAGAAATTCATAAAAAATATATGAATAAAATTAAGTGTGAATAATAATCATTGATTAAAATTTAAAAACTAAAAATATCAAAAAATGAATAAAATTGAACTATTGAAAATCTAATTAGTCTGCGCGAAGTGCAAATGAGTTCACTAGTAAAGATATAAAGCGGAAGTAGGTAGACAAGTTTTAAAATTATAGAAAATATTTAATGGAAATCAAGTACAAAAACAACAAAATACAGCCCCCAATATTCGGTGTCGTTCGTACAAGAGCGATTATGAGAATGATGCATCAACAACTGATACACTGTTTGAAAGATAAAAAGACAATAAAAAGTAAAGGATAGAATAATAAGTATGGCACTGTAGATCTAGACAACTCACCAAATGTAATCCGCGCAAAACTGTATGAAAATTTAAGGGACTAACCGAGGAACAATGTCGGTTTTGTTTGAAAATAATTTTTTAAATAGGGAAGTGCTAAATGGCCAGAAAATTTAAAAAAATTATAATATTTTTTTAATTTTAAAATAAATTGATTTTTTTTTCATTTTTTAGTTAAAATGTATTAAAGTTAAAAGGATAAAAATATTTTAAAATATGAAATAACATAGAAAAAATATCATTCTCAAATTTTCTGGCCAAATTTTTTTTTCATTTTAAATAATATAGTGAAACCAACGGATAGGATTGGTTTCCCCTCGGTTTATGTGACCGACCTAGTCCCTCAATTTTTTCTAGATCGGTATTGATGAAGTTTTTAGTAGTGATATATTGCAGGCACATGATGTCTAACATCTGATTTAATCGTAAATTTTATAAATAATAATATTACTCTATGAGCAAATTAAAGTAATGATTTTACGTCATTTAAGAATACTATACTAAAAACAAGTATGTAAAAATAAAAAAGACAACTCTAAATAATTCATTGTGTGGTGTCTCTCATTAATATATTCTTTTAAATCACTAATTTTAAAGAATTTGGATGTCAAGTTGTTTCAATCTAGTGAATACGGGGAGTGTATACACGGGTAATAACTGAGTACTTCTGCTAGTCCAGTAGATTGATGGTGTGTTTGGTATGAAGGAAAATATTTTCCTAGAAAATGTTTTCGTGGAAAATAAGTAGATTTTTTATTTATTTTCTCATGTTTAGTTGGTGACTAGAAAATATTTTTCGAAAAAGATTTTTTAGTGTTTCATTTATTTATGAAAATTATTTTTGAAAAAATATCTTTTATTTTTACTAGAGAGTAGAAATTAATTTTTGAATTGAAATTGTTTTTTTTTTTAAAGATGGGGTAAAAAAATAAAAATTTGAAATTAAATATATTTTTTAAAAATAAACTTAATTTTTTTGGGAGGGGGTGGGGGGATGATG